TGATTTGTTGGCACTTAACAACAACAAAGTTGTTGTAGATCCATACTTTATACATTCCACGTTCCAAATATTAATGGACGTTTTCACTGGTCCTCTTCATTTTGAGTTGTGCCCCATCAGCAAATGTAAGGCCCAAAAGTTTTAATTCATTCGCATCATCATGGTCAACTCTCTATATTTATTAAAGATTTTAATTGAGCGATAGTTTACAGGGAAAATCATCAGTTTTACACTCAACAAATCATATTTTGTTTCACTGCAATGATTACAATCCCCTCCATGCATCAATGGTTAACAGTTGTTATTGTTAAGTACCATAGAGTCGGTTCTGACTCATAATGACCCTACACAGGTTGGTTAACAGTAGCTACCTCTATTTCCTTTTTTTTTTTTTTCAAATGTACACACAACACACAGAAAATAGTCATTTAAATGACCAAAAGACACATTCTGCAAGTCAGAATGCTGCCCAGAGGCACACAGCCTTTTTCATTCTACGGGTCTAGAGTCCTCAGTTGCACTCTCTATACCATTGCCTCTGCTTCCATCTCTCCTGTTGCGGTCAACTCTATTTTGAGGAGGAAACTCTTCCTTCTATCTTTCAACCTGAAGGGCTCATCAACTGATAGTATTCTGGGGCTGTTCATAACGTTTTCAGCTTCTGGCACTGTATCTAACAATACTCTGCTGTTATTCATAAGGTTTTCAGTGGATAACCATTATGAAGTAGTCCAGCTCATCTTCTTCCTAGTCTTTCTCAGTCTAGAAGCTACACTGAACCCTGTGTATCATGGGTGACCCTGCTGGTATTTAAAATATCGATGATACCGTTCCCAGAATCCCAGCAACATGCAATCTAGCACAGCAACACAAATTGACAGGACAAATTGATGGACATTTTAAGTATATAGCTCAACATTAACATGTGTGAATACTAACTGTATTTCAGAAATATTCTTTGTGCTCTTTTCAATCACTACCTCTTCTTTCCACCAAGTTTAATCATTACCATTAAATCTTATATGTAAGATTTGTTTTTCTGCTTCCTCCAAATAATGTTTTTACATGATTTGGCCCCCAACCAAGGGTAAGTATCTTACACAAATTGGTACAATCAGTCTTTCCTTTGGACATTTCTAAGCTGAAAACAAGAGAACCATTCTTCTTTCATTACTGAAATTATATGATATAAAATTTAGAAGCTACTAGAAGCAGTATGAAAAAGTCAGGTTGCTGGGAGAAAACAAAGCCTACAGAAGGGTTTTCTTTATGTAATCTTTGATTCTAGTTATTTCTGAGGGCCTGTTGCACTCAGGGTTTTCTCAGTGTTTAATTTTTTAAAACTCTTTCTTTGATTCTACAAACTGAGAAATTTATCTTTTTGCCTACACAAGTTCAAGTTGGATTTCAAACACTTGCAGCTAAGACCATCTAAACACAGAAACAAAAACCCCTCAAAAGTAATTTCCCTTTTAAAACTACCTAGATTATCTTTTTAAATGGGAGACGGTGAGAGAGACAAAATTTATTGAATAAGTTGACAGAATTCAAAATAAAAAAACATGACCTGACCAAATCATTTAAAAAGTACAGATGCTGTAATCTAATGTTTTCTTCAAGTTCTAACTTACATGTACATATTTTTCATATACTAATAAATTGAAAAAGAGCTCTGGTAGCATAGTGGTTACGAATCAGGCTGCGAACCTCAAGGTCAGCAGTTCGAAACTACCAGCTGTTCCGCAGGAGAAAGATGAGGCTTTCTGCTCCTGTAAAGATTTACAGCCTCAGAAACCCTGTACAGGGTCTCTATGAGTCGGTTCCGACTCCACAGCACATAACTACCACCACCAATAAATTGAAAGTCTTTCTCAATTTTAAAACAATACCCGTAGGTAACTCACATTATTAAGGGATTAGCAATAGTTCTACAAATCCCCTATGCATGGGGAAGCTAAACTGGTGAGATTCTTGCAAAAAAGTGTGCCTTATGAGATTATCATATGAATATAAAAGGACATAGCACAGATCACCAAATAATTTGTGATAACAGTTAATATACGTCTTAGTGTATATATTCATATATTTTACAGGTAGAAATGATTTTTAAAATTCTATATTATATTCATAATCTTTTAACATAGTTAAAAATTGTGAAAACTGGGTCAGGATTTCTCATCAATGCAGAAAGAATTTACTTAACAATTAGAAAGTTTAAGTTGATATTGATTATTGGAAACATTTCTTTTCATACCACTAAGAAAACATTTTTAACTATGACATAAGATAAAATCACGATAGGAGTCCTGGTGTGGTGCTGTAGGATAAGCACTGGACTGCAAAGTCAGCCTGAACCACATGTAGGATAAGCACTGGACTGCAAAGTCAGCCTGAACCACAGCCACTCCTAGGGAAATTCCGTAGACAGTTGCTATGAGTTGCAACCGACTCCGTGGTACTTAAAAAGAATAGCAAGATGAAATACGGTAATTAACTACCTCAATGATTTTGGATTTTGAAATGCAAAGCTTCAACTGAAATCTCTGTCACAGGCAAAATCACAAAAAGATAAAATTAACTACAGTCAACGTTAAAATATGTTCATTAGATCATATTACTAAAATTACTGTCTTAAATTGGTAATTAAAAATTTTTTGAGAATGGAAGAACATTTTTTGGTTAACGTAATAAAAAAAAATCCATTTTGCTGCTTATAAAAAAATGTAAAAAGCAAAGAAAAAGAGAACCCTTGTGGAAATTGTCCACAAGATGGTGATATTTACCCATGAATAGATAAAATAGAACTAGAAAGCTAGATGTTTTATCTTCAATTGAAAAACAGATTTTGGCAGGATATGTGCCTGGTCTCTAAGTGTTTCCGTAAAGACTGCTATTAGTTGCAATAGGAAAAATAGTAACTATACAGTAGGGAAACTAGAGAATACTTTGGTTGATTGATCAAAGTAAACATCAATGGGGAAGAAAAATATGAGGTGCCTCAGGATATGATCACTGAGAAGGATATAAAATTATTCATGTAGCATTCTGGTCAGGAATGCATGACTTGAATCTAAATACAAAGAAAGTATCAGAAAAATCCAAACCAAGACGCACTGTACATAATACAGACTAAAGCACTGTTACAAATTAAAGGAGACTCAAGACATACGTGTGGTCGTGTAAGACTGCTAACCACAAGTCCTTCATTTCAAATTTACCAGCTGCCCTTCAGGAACCCTATACAGGGTCACTATGAGTGGGAACCATCTTGAGGGCACTTAACAACAAAGAAACATGTTAACTAAATGCAAAAATGTGATCCTGGACTAGAAAAGGGCAAAAAAAAAAAATTAACCTAAGAGTCATTATTGAGATAACTGAAAAATCAGAATATGAATTATAGATGAATGTATTGGATAAATGTTAACTTTCCTAAAATTTGATAAATGATATTGTAGTTATCTAAGAAAATTAAGAACATTCTTATAAAATGCACAGTGAAAAAATTGGTATGTTGCTGTTTCTTAGTGCCACAGAGTTGGTTCCAACTCAGTGATCCTGTATAGGTTCTCCAGAAGTGGCTGGTAAGTATGAATTGCTGACCTTATGGTTCACACCAAATTTGTGGTCCAGTGCCTACCTATTCTACAGTGCCACCCTAGGACTCCAATCAAGTTTAAATGAGGACAATATATGCAAGTGACTCAAACTGTTAGAGAGATTTATAAAACAAATGTGACAAAATATTAAAAATTGGAAAATCGAGATAAAAATTATACAGGCTCAGCCTTCCAGAGTACCAATGACATATATGATTGTATCAAGACTCACTATGGCTATCTCATTCCCATTGTTGCTGAAGTGCCATCGAGTTGGTTCCAACTCATAGCAACCCTGTATAGGGTTTCCAAGGAGTGACCGGTGAGTTTGAACTGCCGATCCTATAGTTCAAACTAACCTTGCTGTCCAGTGTTTATCATACCTACAGCATCACACAAGGAATCCATTCCCAGGATTTCCTATCAAATTTCTAACTAGTTCAGTGGTCTATTATTTGGTCCAACCAGTATTATAATGTCAGGTTCTCTGAGAGTTGGCTTTTGACAACTCTCTTGAGCATGGGGCTTTCCTGTGCTCTGCTTCAAATCAAGCCAGTTTCCTCCAGTAGCAAAAGCTGCTGGTTTTCAGTTTGCGTTGCACTCTGGCATAACTACTAGATGTCAGAGGTGGGGAGCATCTGACTTCATTTCTCCTCCTCTTGAATGGGACTATATGACTGCCATAGTGAACAAAATGCACGAGAAACAAAACATGACTCCTGAAGCTCTCTCCTAGAGCCCAAACACCACATTGCGCGAAAGTCCAAAGCAGCTCATGGAAACCACATGAAGAGGGATGGGTGTCTCACTGGTAGCCAGCATCAACTACTAAACAAGTGAGTGTGTGAAAGGGACTTCAGATGATTTTAGTACTGTTTTTCAACCTTCCTAGCTGAGGCCCCAGTGGAGCATAGACAAAGACTCCAGCTGTCCCTGTCAAATTCCCATACAACAGAATTTGTGAGCATCTTAAATGGTTGATTTACATCACCAAGTTTTGGGGTAATTCATTAAGTAGCCACAGTAACACAGAAACACTGTGTTTCACTTCTTATGTTTATTGTCTACTTCTTCCCACCAGAATATAAGCTCCACAAGGTAGAGACTTTTGTTTGTTTAGTTGACTGGCATACAGCAAGACAGCACAAAATGTTTGTTCATTACCAATATTATAATATTATAATTTACAAACATCTTAACAACAAATGTTTTAGCTAATAATAATAAAAAGTTGGTTGAAAATAATGACATAAGAAGTTTTATCTGAATTGTTTATAAATTTCAATTATCCATAACAATTTTAAATATATACTCTATTGCAATTCTCATATGATTGCTTACTTTCAGGCACATCGTGATGCTTACAGGAAGGAAACAGTGATTACACTTGTTAAAGCTCACCTCACATTGGTTATTCAACTTGGTAGATGTTATGTCCAACTGCTGGTATTGTTCTTTTAGCTTTGAAAATTCAGCTTCTAATCTTGTTTGTTCTAGTTTTGAATTATTTAGAAGACTTTTCAAATTTTTATGGTCTGTTTGTAAAACTTCAGTCTCTTTCAAAAGCTGACTATATGTATGATTCAACCTATAATTAGAAATCAAGGATAGAATAAAATTAGTTTCTTAGTAACTTTCATTATAATTTGCATAGTGTGAAATGCTATAAATACCATAAAGACATACTTAAGAGAATATAAACTATTCCAAACTGATTAGGTTAAGTTCTATTCTGTAAAATGTAGATAGATATATATATAAAGAGTGCCTTTCCTTTGAAAAGCTATCTTTTGACTTAAACATATTAGAGGTAAATAAGCTGATAGTTTTATTATATAAAAATTTTAGTAGAAATTCAATAAAAATTCCAGTTCAGTTTATTTCATAGAAAATATAAAGATTTTAATACTCAATGTACAACACAGATCACAATGATTACTCAATCCAGTAATATATACTATGTACAGCTGTTGACAAATAACAGGTGTTGTTGTGACTGTTAAGTGCTGCCGAGTCCGTTCTGACTTTGAATGGGGTTTCTGAGGAGCAGCTGGTGGGTTTGAAACATGACCTTTTGGTTCACAGTCCAGTGCTGATCCTACAGCACCACGCCAGGTTGAGACTTTTGCATTTGTGGCACATTATTCAAATTTATTCAATTTCTAATTATTGACAAACTTTGGATCTTCTGTAAAAATTGAGCAATAGCTTTTCCCTCTTTCATGATTATACTTTCAGAACAAGGTTAACTGATCTCTAATGGCAAGGCCTGGCAAACTTTTTCTGGAAAGGGCCTGAGAGTAAATATTTTAGGCACTGTGGGCCACATGCTGTCTCTGTAGCATGTTCTTCTTATATCCCCCTCATAACACATTAAAACTGAAAAATCTGTTCTCAGATGGGAAACTATACAGAGACAGGCAGAAAGCTGAGTTTGGCTTGCTTGGTTTCCATAGTTTGCCAACCTCCATCTAAGTAAGGGCAGTAAGAGCACACAAGAGGGAGGCAGGCAAGCAAAACTTCAACTATTCCTCAAACAGTTTAGTACAGCCTGGGAAAAAAAGTACTGGATGACAAGGTCGGTGGTTCAAAGTATCAGCCGCTCCTTGAAAACCCTATACTGGGTAGCTAAGAGTTGGAACTGACTCGACGGCACTTAACATTAACAATTAACAACAAGAATTATAAATAATGCATATTTTAAAAAATTAAGACTTAGTAAAAACAAAATAAAAACCCACAACATACTAAATGATCCATAAAATACGTTGAATCAATGAGGGAATACATGTGTTCTATGAGTGTTATGAATTGGACTGCTAACCTCAAGATTGGCAGTTCGAAACTACCAGCCGTTCCGTGGGAGAAAGATGAGGCTTTCTGCTCCCACAAAGACTTACAGCCTCGGAAATCCTGTGCAGGGTCACTATGAGTCGGAACCGACTCCACAGTACTTAACAACAACAACAACAACAACAACATGAATACACATAGCTGGTCAAATCTCAAAAAAATTCACATACACTTCTACATAGGATATCACTACCTAAAGAGATCAAAGATTTTGCTATTGATACTTCATTGGGAGAAGGAGGATACAAAGAAGTATGAGGCACAATGTCCTCGATATCATCTCCAAGGCAAATGTTCAAAAGAGCTCCTTAAAAGTATTTTACACTATTCTTCAATCAAAACTGAGGACATTAACACCAAAATGAAAACTCACTGAACAGAATTCTAAAGATGTCTAGAGAACCTAGTCCAAGTAAGAAATATTCTTGGTATGGTGATAAATAGGCTAAAAATTGAGGCTACTTAAAGGAATGAATAAGCTATCTTTTCAGACAATACTTCACATGTCTACACACACACATACACATGAGGGGGCTTCAAAAAGTTTGTGCCAAGATTCCATTATATTTTAATTCCATTAGTCCACAAATGTTTAAATTATTATTTATTTACAGTGAAATACCTCTTTGAGAGTTCACTGAGAGCCTTTTCTTCCCTTAGAACACAGATATGAATCCATAAAAGCTGGATAACAAAATACTTGAGAATTAAAATACTTCCATCTTTTAAGGCCCACTCTTCCCCCAAAGTTTGAAAAACCTTCTAGGTTAAAGTCATTATGCACAATTTCTTCATTTAGGTTGCATTCTTTCTCTATATGCTCTTCAATGATATATATAATTAATTTCCTGGAAGGCCTACCTATGAAGGGTCAAGAACTGTCAGTTTTTAAAAAAATTCCAACAATTGGAAAACAATAGGTTCAAAATGGGACCCCCACTGTAAATGTGCTGTTGTGGTTAAGTGCCTTCAAGTTGGTTCCAACTCACAGCAACCCTGAATAAGGTTTCCAAGGAGCAGAGGGTAAGTTTGAACCGTCAACCTGGCAGTTCAAACTGACCTTGCTTCCCAGAACATTAACCCACAGCACCACACCAGGACTTTACAGTAAATATATTCCCCCAATACTGAGTATGAAATAATAAATGGCCCTATCTTGTATTACAAAACTTGTCATAATTTGATTTCCTGGAAACTTCTGGAATTAAACTTGTTGATGTTCAAGTTCCTGACTAGAGAATTTCCAGTTATAACAACCAAGAAAAACCCAACTCAAAAATACTGACTATGACAATGAAATGACTCTGGATTCTTATAAAAAGGAAAATACATAAAAGTTTAATTCTAAAAACAGACCACATTAGATTCCTAATAGGAAAAATAAGAAATAACTCCACTTGAGTTTTGTATACTGACTTCTACATTTCAGGTATAACAATTTAAGTGTAGTACAAATGTTTAGGACTCCTGGTGTAGCACTGAAGGATCAGCACTGGACTGTGAACCATAAGGTCAGCATTTAAAACCCATCAGCTGCACCTTGGAAACCCCACACAGGGTTGATATGAGTCAGAACTGACTCGATGCCACTTAACAACAACAAATGTCAAAAGTTTCTGAAAACACAACTTCTAAAAATGAATCTTTATAAAGCAGGTTGGTTACTAGTTGGGAATTTTTGCTTTCCCAAGGCTTTCTATTGAGAAAAAAATTGTCCTATGACAATATGACATAAGACAGTTAAAAATAAGTACAAATCCATCAGCTATGAAATGATCAGTTTGCTCACTTATATAGCAACTTCAAAAACAAGTGGGATACCAGGCTAGTGAAAAGACAGAAAAAAAACCAACACACACACACAAAAAAAACCCAAGTCCCATTAAATTGTCTCAATAAAACATGTAAATGGTATCAAGGTACAGAAATTTTATTACACAACTTAAACAACTTCATCAGTTGAATAAAACAAAGTACTAAGACAAAAGAGAGATCAAGGTTCCATTAGTAGCTATGTTGGGAAAGTTACTTATTACTTTGCTGTCTTTTCTTTTTTTTCAGACTGTAAAAGAAAATAAATGAAACTATTTTTTCTAGTTTTTCATATTATATGTTCAAATTATGACTGGTACTACAAAGAGACAGTATATACACTTTAGCTGAGAGGGGGTAATATATTATTACCTATCATTTTCACCACACAGTTTCTTGTATTCTGCAGCTACAGTCTCATGGTTTTTGTTTTCAAGCATTATTTTTTCCTGTTCTACTTTGAGCATTTTTTCCAAATCTTCCAATTGTCCTTTCTGTTTTAATAACTGATTGTAACTAGTCAAAAAAACAAAAGAAAAGATATTTGCATTGGAAAAAATATTTTAGAAATGAAGGAATTAAGATTATTAATATCATATAAACACATACAAATTTATGTAAATTTTCTACATAAATTATTTTTCAGTCTTTAAAACACTTAAAATGTATTGCACTACTTTAAAATTGACTTTAAGTTAACAACATATGGAATCATGATAAATTACCGATCTTCAAGATCTTTATGTTCCACCTCAAGATTTTTGTGGGCACACTTTAGTGTTCCGTGTTTAGCAATGAGAGATTCATACTCCGAAGCCTGTCGTTCATGAAGAAGTTCCAGCTTTTCATGATCTTTGACCAGAGAGTCATAGAGAGATTTTAGGTCTTCTCTTTCTTTGAGTACAGACTCATTTTCATTTTCTAAGGAAGACTGCTGGATTAGGAGTTGTGCATTCTGGTTCATAAGTGAGGTACTTTGAGAATTAAGGGTAGAATTTTCAACCTGTAAGAATGAATATTGTGATCCACACGTTGCTTTTTTTTTAAATAAAAGATTACAATGTTAACTTTGTCGTTGTTAAGTGCTGTCGAGTCGATTCCGACCCACAGCAATGCTGTATAGGGTTTCCAAGGAGCAGCTGGTGAGCTTGAACCACCAACCTTGCAGTTCAAACGACTTTGCAGTCTGACGCATTAGCCCTCAGTGCCACACAACTTTAGGCACGTCTAAATAAGTCATAGGAGTCCTGGTGTGGTGCTGTGGGTTAATGCACCAGACTGCAAAGCCGTTTGAACTGCAAGGTCGGTGGTTCAAGTTCACCAGCTGCTCCTTGGAAACCCTAAATGAGGTCGCTATGGGTCGGCACCGACTCGATGACACTTTACAACAACAAAATATTAGTCATAAGGAACTCTGGCAGTATAGTGGTTATAAGTCAGGCTGCCAAACCTCAAGGTTAGCAGTTCCAAACTACCCGCTGTTCCATGGGAGAAAGATGAGGCTTTCTGCTCCCATAAAGATTTACAGCCTCGGAAACCCTGTACAGGGTCACTATGAGTCGGACCACGGCACACCACCACCACTACCACCAAGTAAGTCACGGCAGACATGTTCATATCATAATGGAATATTTTGGATTTTAACTTTCCAAATATTAAGGTTGTCATTTAATTTTTGACTTATGTTTTGAAATGTGTGTATGTTTAGGTTTGAATTTCTTTTAAATAAACAGGTACATCAATTATGTGCATTCCATAAATGTAAAACCACAGAATTGGAAATCTAGTTTATCATTTTCTACAATTTGCAAATTGATAGAACTGAAAAATGACTTCTGAAAATTCAACTGGAACTTTTCTTAAGAGTTTAAATTAGTACTTCCTTTACTACTTCGAAAAGGGGTACAAAAAGAACTTTTAGATTCAGAGACGGAGCTCTCGCTCTTTAAGAGGTTTCAGAGAGCTGTACTTTTCTCCCTCTATTTGAAAACACACAGGCAATGTTGAATAAAAGATGGACATTTGAACTAAGAAAATTTAAAGATAGTATTTCCCTGTTGTATTATTTTCCAATAACTAACCTGATATTGAAACCTGTAAAAATGAAATATGAAATGTATACTTCAACCATACTCAGGAATTTCTACCTGATTAATTATGATCAATGTATTGAGAAGTGAGGAAAGATCACAAAATTAATATAAATCATACTTATTTTATTTTTACTTGTTCAGATATTTAATAAACAATGTTAATTATTAAAAAATCTGGCAAGGCAGTTTTGTTGTTAAGTGCCTTCAAGTTGGTTCCAACCCAAGGTATTAAGTACAAATACTTTAATTTTCAATTAATTAGTAAATATATTCACTAAGAAACAACATTCTCATGTCTAACCTCCCTAATTTTAATAGCATATATCCAAAATCTGTATTTATGACCTGAAGCTTGGCATTCTGTGTCTGAAGAGTGGTATTCTGCTCCTGTAATGATACCGTCTGTCTCTGAAGGGCAAGAATCTGAGCTTGCAAATTATTGTTCTGGGTCTCGAGTTGCTTCAACTGAGTTTTCAAGGCCTGCTTCTCTGCTTGCAGTGTAGCATTCTTAATAAAGAAAACACATTATTAAAAATTAGAGCAAGATACTGGAGTTTTGTACAATGAGCATTTATTACCATTATAATCCCCCAAACCTCAACAAATGCATAAAAGAAAAGACAAAACATTTCCCTCTCTCCCAAATTATAAACATAATTTTAATCTTAGAAAAACATTAAAACCTTAACATCATATTGTGCATGTGTCTTGTGTGCTTTGTACTACCTGAAAACAAATTTCATTCTAAATAGATTTATTCATGTAAGAAAAATCGAATGAAGTTTTTAAACTATACAAATGTGCCCAGAATGAGTGGGCATTGCTCTGCAGCTTGGGGTGGGGATAAGGTATCTTTTTCTAAATTGTCCAAATGCAAATATAATTAAGTCTGGTAGCCTCATGGGTCAACAACAAAACTATGTCTTTTAAAAATGCAAATATCAGGAACAGAAGCAAACTTATTTGAATTTTAAATGGTAATATGATGATATAAATTGAAATTAAACACACAAAACACACACAAAGATACATATGTACATATCTATATGTATTTAGCCCAGCAATTCTATCTTCAGGAATTTATCACACTATAAGCATGTTTATATATGAATTTTCATTGCAGCAGAATTTGAAAATAATCTTAATGTCCATTGTGGGACTTTTAAAATAAATCACTATTAATTAATAAATGTAATGAATATTAAAATGATACACACTCACACTATGAAACAGCATGCAGCTGTTAAAAAGAAAAAGACAGCTATATCTGCTAAACTGGAGAGATTTCTAACACGACGTTAATTGAAGAATAGAAATAAGAATATTACATGTATGATTCCACAAGTACCTGCAAAATTAAATAAATCTGCCAAGGAAAAGTTTTCTAGAAAGATACATAAGAAATTACTACCTGGTTATTTTGGGTGATGATGTAAGAATCAGTAATATGAGAGATTTAATTTTTGGTTTTACAGCTCAAAGTTTGTAATGAAGTATCTATTACTTTCATGTCAAAGTAAAATAACATTTTAATGAGGTATCTGTCTTAATTTTTATGCTAAAAAAACACTATTCACCACCACAATTATTTCACTTGTTAGCGTGTAAGTTCCTTAAGCTCATTCATCTTTGAAGGATGTTTGTTGAATTTATTGATTTATTGGCAAATATTTATTGATCTCACTCAATGAATATTTAAGTGTCTATTAACTACAAGGCACTAGCCTGGGTACTAGAGGCATGTTGTTGTTAAGTGCCGTTGACTCAGTTCCGACCCATAGCAACCCGGTATACTGTTTTTGAGGAGCAGTTGGTAAGCTTGAACCACCGATCTTGCAATTCATACTGATTTTGCAGTCTAGCGCATTAGTCCACAGCACCATATGAGGACTCCAGAGGCATAGTGGTGAAAAAGAAATACAAGCTACCTGCTTTCATGGAGCTTTTTATCAGTGAGCAAACAAACAAATGAATAAAAAACATAATTTAACTGGTAAAAAGTGCTATGAATAAACTCAATATGGTAGTGATAGTGAGTGGTTTAAGGTGGGGACAGTTACATTACTGGAGAATAAGGACCAGGGAAGAACTCTGATGGAAATACTTGAAATGAGACTTAAAAATGAGGGAAGCTAACCCTGTGTGGTTTCTCTGTTTTAAGAGGTAGGTACAGCATAGTGATTATGAATTTGACTGTGAACCGCAAGGTCAGCAGTTCGAAATTACCAGTTGTTCCAAGAGAGAAAGGTGAGGCTTTCTGCTCCTGTAAAGATTTACAGCCTCGGAAGCCCTGTGCAGGGTCGCTATGAGTCGGAACGGCGGACTCCACGGCACATAAAAACAACAACACACAGTAAAAAGACCAATATGGCTAGAATTATCTTACTTATATGCCCGGCAAGGTTTTAAATGTTTCCCAAATACTAGCTGGTGTGGCACTGTAGGATAAGCATTGGACTGCAACCAGCAGTTCAAACTCACCAGAGCAGCTCCTCAGAAAACCTACACAGAGTCACTGTGAGTCGGAACTGAGTCTATGACTTAACAACAACAACAAACCCCCAGATAACAGAAGGGATGGGTGGAGGAGTGGTCTGGTAAAAGGTCAGAGACTAGGTGGGGCAACATCAGGAAGGATCTCTTGCAGGACACAGTAAAGAATGTGGATTTCAGTCTAACTGATATGGAAAGTCACTGAAGAATTTAAGCAGGGAAGTAACATGATCTGGATACTGTACTGAGATTGGCTTAGAGTGAGCCAAGAGTGAGAGGAGGGAGGCCGGTTGTTGTGATGTGCTGTGGAGTTGATACTGACTCATAACGACTCTGTACAGGGTTTCCGAGGCTGTAAATCGTTACAGGAACAGAAACCCTCATCTTTCTCCCGTGGAACAGCTGATAGTTTCGAAATGCTGACCTTGAGGCTCGCAGCCCAATTCATAACCACTATGCTACCAGAGCTCCTTAAAGAGCCCAGATGAAAGATGAAGGTACCTCAAACTAGAGTGGTAGCAGGCGAAATGGCGAGAAGCAGGCAGGCTTGGGTTCTATATTCAAGATAGAGTTGACAGAACTTGCAGAACTTATATGAGAGTGATAGAAAAAAAGATTATTTTTTAGTATTCTAAATCAGTCAACAAAGTATAAAGTGAACAAAGCTGAAGAACCAGGTTATTTCTATACCAAACAATGTGAAAATACTTACATTCCTTTCTACTTCAATTAATCTGTCTTTAACTTTGAGAAGTTCTCTAGTTGTTTCCTGACTTTCCCGCTCCCATTTGTTATCCTCACCAGACATAGGTGGGGAGCTCTGTACCAACCTTTCTTCATCTTGTCTCTGTTTGAGACCTTCGTAGTTTTTTTTCACCTAAAACATTATGTAAAATATTTTACTGTGGAGAAAAAGATCACCTAAGTTATATTGTTCAGTTAATTTAACCCTACTCTGCATGCATATGACCCACTTTGCCTTAAAAAGGTGATAAATAAGATATATAATTATCACTATATTATGACCACAATTAATGCTTTCTAAACCAAACCACACCAAACCCAATGCCATCAAGTCAATTTCAATTTATATAGGATTTCTGAGGCTATAAATCTTTCTCATCTTTCTCCCTTAGAGTGGCTGGTGGGCTTGAACCAACAACCTGGTGGTTAGCACTGGGTGGCTTCTCCTGCAATGCTACCAGGGCTCCTTATACTTTCTAAAGTATTTATTATTTCCTCCTAGAAATATTAAATATATTCTGTTCATGTACTGTGCTCCCACAGTAACAGACACGTTGCTAAAAACCAATACTTCTTTTCCACAGAGAAAGTTATGTTAAGAATGAATAAAAATTTTACATATAATTTCTATTTAACAGACACCTAAACTAAATTTCAGTAAGTATTAATAGACAGTTGGCCCTTTTAGAAGGTTATGTGACTTGGAATGAATTAAGTTAATGACTTCTTTATTCACATCTTGAGACACACATGGTGGTGGTGGTTATGTGCCGTGGAGTCCGTTCCGACTCACAGCAACCCTGCATAGGGTTTCTGAGGCTGTAAATCTTTACGGGAGCAGAAAGCCTCATCTTTCTCCTGTGGAACAGCTGGTGGTTTCAAACTGCTGACCTTGCAGTTTGCAGCCAATTTGTAACCACTATGCTAATTACTGTAATTTATCTTACAAACCCCAGTGCCATCTAATTGATTCTGACTCATAGTGACCCTATGTAGGAATTCTAAGACTAAATCTTTATGGAAACAGACAGCTTCATTGTGCTCCTGAAGAATGGCTGGTGGATTTGAACTGCTGACCTTGTGTGGTTAGCCGCTCAACCCTTAACCCATCACAATACCAGACTCCTTGCTTATCTTATAAGGAGTGAGCAATTCAACAAACTCTAGGTTTTTCTGATTCTCCTTTAAGTCAATTCAAAACTAACAACTTGCTCATCATTTTGTTTTTGTTAGGTGCATGTGTGTCAGTTCTGACACCATAGCGACCTTACTTACGTACAGTTGAAAACACTGCCTGGTCCTGTGCCATCCTCACAACTGTTGCTATATTTGAGCCCATTATTGCAGTCACAGTATCAATTCATCTTGTTGTGTGTGTGTGTGTGTGGGGGGGGGGGTCCTTCCTCTTATTCACAGACCCTCTACTATACTAAGCAAGACGTCTTTCTCCAGGCATTAGTCCCTCTTGATAACATGAATATGTGAGATATTGTTGTTGTTAAGTACAATGGAGTTGGTTCTGAATCATAGTGATCCTGTATAGGGTTTCCTGTATAGAGGCTATAAATCTTTACAGGAGTAGAAAGCCTCATCTTTCTCCTGCATAATGGTTGGTAGCTTCAAAATGCCGACTTTGAGGTTGGCAGGCTGTCTCATAACCACTAGATGAAGACTCTCCATTCTTGCTTCTGTGGAACATTCTAGTTGTACTTCTTCCAACACAGATTTATTTTTCTAGCAGCCCATGGTATAATCAATATTCTTTGCCAACACCTTAATTCAAAGGCATCAATTCTTCTTATATTACCAAAATCACCAGATAGAATTCAATAATTCTCTGGAGTTCTAGTATGGCATTGTAGGGTAAGCAGTGGACTCTTAACTGTAAGATAAATTGAAACTCACCAGCAGCTCCCTGGAAACCTTCTCCTGAAGACTAGGGTAACTATTAGTATCTAATATGAAGCCGTATTTTTGAGCTTTCCTGTTTAAATCTATGCCTTTGAAGTTGTTGTAGGAGATACTGGAGCATGAGGTCCTAGGGCCTAAATACAACTAATGTGAAGCTCACATTCTTATACCTGACCTGTTATCTGGAGAGATGGTAGGTCTCAAACAACAAAGTGATGATGGATACCTGACACTGTGTTGCTGCCTACTTGTGTTTTCTACAGCATACTCCATAGAATGGTTTTAAGTTATGGTAATTTGTAAATCTGTTTAGTCACTCTTAGACCACTTTTGAAGGCACTCAAGAGATGAAAAAAGGAAGACTGAAGCAGAAAATGATGCTACCATCTACTACTTATACATTATATGGCATGAACAAGTCCCTTTAATTTCAACTTACTTATGGAAAATACAGACAGTTGAACCTGCCTTGCTTGATTCATTGGATAATCTCAAATATCCAGATCCAGAAAATATCTAAAATTTATGAGGTGATCAGGCGCTATGCACACAACACACAAAATTAAGGGCTTTAGTAGGTATTCTCGCATCCTATCTTTTTCTGTCAAAATTTACCTGGGGAGACTTCCGGCAAGATGTCGGACTAAGCAGACACATTATATAGATCCTCTACAACAAAGATATGAGAGACCAAATGAAACAGATGAAAATCCTGGAACCTTGAACTTCAAAGAAAAGGTCAGGGAAGTGAATTGAGTGCTTGCTGGGAGGAGAAGCTGAGCAGGAAAGAAAAGAGAGGGAGACTGACTAGTGAATGGCCAGCTGTATGGCCAACTTTGGAGACAGGTGGTGGTCTGGCAGATTCACACAGGAAACAGCCAACATGTGATTCCTTCTTTATCCCCATGCTCCACTGGTGACTAGAAGTGTGGCCAGCACCCACCCTCATCCAACCTCAGTGCAGTCCCTGTTCTCCACGAGTTCAGAGGCATGTCACTGTGAGCCACGCCTGTGTGAGGCAGAGCCGGCTAGGTTGCTTTGGTGCCTGAATTCCGGAGGGTTAAACTCTAGACCTACAAATCCCACAAGTGATCAGATCAGCATTGTTGTTGTTGTTGTTAAGTGTCATCAAGTCAGTATCAACTCATAGCAACTGTGTGCACAACAGAACTTAACCCTGCTGGATCCTGTGCCAACTTCACAATTGTTGATACATCTGAGCCCACTGATGCCACCACTTTGCCAATCCATCTCGCTGGGGTCTTGCTCTTTCTCTCTGACCCTCCACCTTACCAAACATGATATCCTTCTCCAGAGACTGGTCCCTCCGGACAATATGTCCGAATTATGAGAGATGAAGTTTGGCCATCCTGGCCTCCAAGGAGCACTCTGGCTGCACAGTTCTGTTGGTTCTTTTGGTACTTCATTGCACTTTCAGTATTCTCCTCCAACACCATAACTCAAAACCATCAATTCTTCTATGGTCTTCCTTATTCACTGTCCAGCTTTCACATGCATATAAGGTTATTGAACATACCATGGCTTGGGTCAGGCTCACCTTAGTCCTCAAGCTGAATCTTTGCTCTTCAACACTTTAAAAAAGTGTTGTGCAGCAGATTTGCCTAATGCAATACGTCGTTTGATTTCTTGACTGCTGCTTCCATGAGTATTGATGGTTGATCCAAGAATGAAGTCCTTGACAACTTCAATCTTTTCTCTGTTGATAAGAATGTTGTTTATTGGTCCAGTGGTGAGGATTTTTGTAATCCATACCAAAGGCTGTGTTGGCCTTTGATCTTCATCAGTATTTTAAGTCCTCTTCACTTTCAGCATGCAAGGCTGTATCATCTGCAAATCGCAGGTTGTTAATGAGTCTTCCTCTAATCCTGATGCCACTTTTTTCTTCATAGAACCCAGCTTCTCAGATTATTTGCTCAGCATACAGGTTGAATAAGTATGGTGAAAGAATACAACCCTATCGCACACTTCTTAATACAGGTGATAGGACAGGCAATATACATACAAGAGGGAGATAACAGAGGAAAGATGAATGCAACAAGAGACACAGGGATAAATGCAAGCATTAAAGTGAATAGAAGACTGTTGGTCCATGGAGGGGACTGGAGTTATTGTAACGAAGCAACGTACAGGATTTGTTGAATGTAAAACTTGTGATCTGCTCTATAAATCTTAACTCAATTCACAATAAAAAATTAAAAAAAATTTTTTTTCTACTTGGGTTCTCAATAGAAAAAGAGGGCCAGAGAGCTTTGCCCAATGAAGTAAGGCTGTCTTTTTCCCACTCCACTCCTTCAATTCTGATTTATCTTACAATATGGCATGTATACATGAAACAGGACTGTATATGAGGGTGCTTTTAAAGTTTGTGAAAACATGGAATTAAAAGATAAAAATAAAAATATAACCTTTATTATGCAAAAAGCTCTTCCAAGGTCAAGACATTTTAGTAAGTGATAATTGCTGTTGTTGTAGTTGTTAAGTGCCATCGAGTGGGTTCCAACTCACAGGGACCCTTTATAGGGTTTCTGAGTAGTAGCTGGTGAGTTTGAACCACTGACCTTGCAGTTCAAACCCACCTTGCTTATCCTATGATGATATTAGTCATTTAGGCCATCACTAAAGAGCTGAAGGCCTGGGGACTATAACTATATTAATGTAGTCTTTTTTTTTTTTACATTATTAGTTGAAGAGAAATGGGTACCTTTTCAAGATTTTTTAATATTAGGAAATAAAAGAAAGAAATCAGAAGGAGCCAAATCAGGACTGTTAGGTAGATGAATATCTAATGATGTTCCATTGACACTCTTGCAAACTGACCTTGATTAAAGGAATGAGCAAGAACACTGTTGAAGCAAAGACTCTGTTGAAGCTTTCCCAGGCATTTTTCTGCTAAAACTTTGGCTAACTTTCTCAAAACAATCTAATAATAAACAGACGCTATCATTTTTTTGGCCTTCCAGAAAGTCAACAAGCAAATTTATTGAAAGCATCCACCAAAATTGTTGCAATGACCTTTGCTTGTTGTCAGTCTGATTTTGCTTTGACTAGAACATTTCCATCTCTTGATAGCCACTGCTTTGATTTTGCTTTGTCTTCAGGATCAGACTGGTAAAGACTTGTTTCATCTCCAGATAGAATTCTTCCAATTAAAATTTAGGCTGAAAGCTCTGTTTTTATGTAGCTGATGGGGTACAACTGTTTTGTCATCCAGTGAGCAGTTTGCGCAACTTTAATTTTTCAGTCAGAATTGTGTAAAGCTGAACTAACTGACATTATGATATTGGCTACTGTTTCTCCTATTAATTACTGATACTCTTCAATTAGGGCAGAGACAACACTATCCTTGCAAATTGATGTGGATGGTCTGCCCCTGAAGGTTTCATCTTCAACATCATCTTATCCCTTCTTAAAACCAATTAGGCATTTGTAAGCTGCTGATTTCTTTAAGGTAATATACCCATTAACTTTTTGTAAAGTAGTAATGATTTCACCAATCTTCGACTGAAGCTTCACTATAAATTTGTTGTTTGTTATTGCTTCAATTACAGCAGCATTTGTAACTCTGATAAGGGCTCTTTTCAACCTGAGATCTCATTCTCCTCAGTGCCTCAAACTAGATCTTGTTCAGATTTAACAAGTTAGTATGACAGTGTTTAGGTGCAAAAATAAATGAAAACTATGCATAGTTTTTTCATAATACACCTTTTCCCATGAACTTTCTAAAGACCACTCATACGGTATAACTGTATGACAAAGATCAGGTTCAAAAATACCCTCAATTTTATAGAAGATGTACACTAAATATTAATGGAAACAATATTTGCATTTTTATTTTCCGTTTTCTAGAAAAAGATAATTCAAACGCTTTCCAAGAAAATCACTTACCGTTTTAAGTTCTTGGCGCAATTGCTGGTTATAATTTGTGGATTCTTCTAATCTAGCTTCTAAAGCAGCAATTTTTTCTTCTTTTATTTCAAGAGATTTCTTTAGAGTAGATTCTAATTTTGATTCCAAAATTTTGAACCTACTATCCAAGTATAAAAATAGTATAGGTCATCATCAGAGATCAGAAAATTACTTATGGAAACACAGGTACTGATGCCATAAATAGGTTTTATACATTTTTTTTAAAAAAAAAGAAGCTAAATTGTCCTCCTCTCCTTGTCTTCTTGTTAAAACTATCCCTGATCATGAAGCAACAAAAACAATTCAGTAAACTGGGCTTCAGGTTATAGCCTTGGCTGCCAGAGGAACAATTAATGTTTCTCTCTCTCTCTCTCTCTCTCTCT